TTACACAACCGAAAACACGCTTTCTAACTGCCTCGTTACGGATTCGCCGACACCAACCCACACGAGCTATGGTTCTGAGACGACGGTTGTCGAACACCTGAAGACGTCTCAGTTCCGCTGCTCGAATAGACCAAGTCTCACAGCCGTACAACAAAACAGCCCGCACTATAGCTTGATACACACGTTCCTTGAGATTCACGGATAAACCCTTCTGACGCCAAAGGTGCCTCAAATTAGCAAACGCGGCCCGAGCTTTGCAGATTCGTTCATTCACCTCATCTGTCACCACACTACAATCAGAACTAATACAACTTCCATCTGACATACGGAAAAAAACAATCAACTTTTCGAATTAACAACGGTCCTTCTTCTGTGTTGTAAATTTGACAAGTCAAATCAAACCGACCAGTAACCGCCCTGACAATTAGGACTCGGCTTTGTACAAAACGTTTCTGTCCCACTGTTTTGTAAGCAACTCTATTTACCCTAGTGATGTCCCTAATCTAAATCGGGGATATTTGGGCAACTAGGTTGTCCCTTCATGCTGCAAAGTTTGCTGGTAGTGTGAAGGCATTTGAACAGTTAATTCAATCAAGGCGTTTAAAAAGTGAAGCCAATCCGTGCCGAAAAGCTCAGGAAAGTTTGTCAAAGTGTCTTCATGGCAAGTCTCGAGTGATTTTTTTGTTAATCAACGCTGTTTGAGGCCAAAATTGTACATGGTTAAGGTGTGTGTGTTTGTCATCCCACGATCTCTCTCGGTTCTAAACAAACCCGAATCGTTCCAATTAATTTGCGTCTATCAATCAAACAGGTTTAGACTGATGAGCCCCAAGAAGGGCGAAACCGGCCGTGGGCTGTCGATGGATTTCCAGCAACCTTATGAGTAGTACATTACAAATGTTTAGACTGTTCTTGATTATCTTCCTGGGTAATTCGACGCACAGCCAGCGAGACTTGTAATTCAAGTGCACAAGATAGACTGGAAAAGTCAGTGGTCAATGATATCTTCAACTCCAGCCTACAAGAACTGAAATCCCCCATCTATATAGACCGATCTGAGTACATGCGACCTCACTCTGCTGCATTCTTAGTACGTACGACTCAATATACCACGAAGAGGCCAAACGGTTAGGTAACGCTCTCCCGGTCTCTCTCCGTCGTCAAACCGACGAATAAAATCAAATTTTTGCACTAATTTGACAAACGCGGTTCCACTCTGCAGACGTCTAAAGAAGTCTACTCGTTGAAAACTGAACAGAAAGACAAGCTTCCTCTTCTTAGAGTGGTATTGGAGGGTGAGGTGATACAACGATGCGTGCGTTATAAATAAACTTGAATTAGTCATTCCAAAAGCTTTTGAACACCTCTGTTCCGACGAAGTTCAAACGAAATTTTCTGCATTGCCTGTGTGTCAGAGCAGTAAAAACTGCTCGGTGGACACTCCGCAGAAGGTGAAGTTTCTTCAAATTAGTTTTTAACAGAGTGATTCCTCAGAAACGAGGATCCCCCCACTGGGGCAAAATACAAGTCAGTTGACGCCCTCCCGTTCAAAGTCAGTGTGGTAAGTCAAGACAGAAGGCTACGTAACTCCGGTTCAAACGTGATCCCCACTTTCCATCCTTTTTTATCAGACAACTTTCACCTTGAAACCACTTCTGTGTGCGTCTATGTGTACGTCAAACGACCAAGCAAGGATGGTCGTGTGTATCCGATTAGTATCCGATCAGTAGTATAACGTAACCAGGTCTGTTTTAACGGATCTCACTAACACAAAAATTGAGGCTTTGGCCGTTCTGAATTAAAAATCGAGATGGCACAGTTTCTGAACCCTAATCTTTTTCTATTTCGGAGGCATCATGAGCCCAAAAAATCTGCTGTGCAGTCGCTTATCGACTTCAAATCTACATCAGTTTCATCAGTGTTGAGTGATTTAAGCCAGACGCCGTTTAGACCAGTTTTCTTCGCTTTATGCATACGTTTGAGCCAGGCAGGGAGGCGAGGAGACAGGTTAGTTTCGCTCATACGGTATGCTTATCAATTCCTCATGAGAATGTTTCAGACAGTTGGCCAGAATAATCGCCCCAGGACCGAAAAGTTAGGTATCTAATCAATGAGGAAGGTAACAGTGATTCTACCAGTCCACCTGATGTGCCATTTTCCATTTTTTCGGTATGATCACAACTCAACAATAGTTCAAATCATCAAAGTCTTCCAATTCGCAATGGACTGATGGATATATCAACAGACGGATCAAAGAAGGATCTAGATTAATCCTTTTCATATGACGGAAAATTGGGAAGAACGCCTTTTACTAGAAAGTCTCAAGCTTATTCAAACCAAAATGAGACATGTTTACCAACCATACTCGTTTGACTTCCTCAACAAGGTCGAATGTTTTCATAAAGGTTGCTGAAGAATTTGTGAGTAGTTTTCTTTAGGAAAATATACTGCGATATCTCGAATATCGTGCCAACTGAAACATGAGGCGGCCTGTGTACAGCACATTCAGTTGTAGAATATCATAAACGAGAGATTCAATTGAGTCTCTCGTGAAAACCAAATTGATTTGCAACTGAGTGTTTTTCTCGAAAAAAGGTCGACTGTTTTTTGCTCTGTTCGAAATTACTCTGCTATTCTAAAGGTTCTCCAGTAATTACACTAGATTTCCACCCAAGCAGTTGTTGGTGTTGAACACCACTGATGTTATGCTGTCGATGATGATAATGGTGATGATGACTGTCACTGCGGCAACAAATGTCATACGAGTATTACTAGACCCTTACCCACTGTTGTTGATAACTCCTCACTTGTCCTAAATGTGACAAAGAAATACTAGGGTTGTATCGTGCCAATTACACTCATAAGAACTGCTGTTTTCTAACTGCTCCGGGTTCAGAATTTGTCTCAAGAATTAAAACGTTTTTTCTCTATTAGGCTTTCGTTAGGCTAGCTTGTGGGCCGGAATTTTTTGTACATCTGACTAGCAGTGAATAACTAACTGAATTTCTTCACAAGTTACCACTTGTTCGTAAGATGGACCTGGTAATTAGCAAGCTATGGGTGTGGAGGTCGTGATAACGCGATCGATGATTACAACTCACAACGGGCCGGTCCCAGCACAGCATTCCACTGAGCGTTTCTCCTGACTTGTGATTATCTCTTGTAAAAGCCGCCCGTCCATGGATTTCCATTTATCACGTCTTCCGTGAGTATCGGTCAGTAGCGGTGTGGCGGCCACACTACCGACGAACGTTGTGAGTAATATCAGTTTGCACTTTGAAACACTCTCGTAGTTAAACGACACCTTGATTAATGTTAGATATTTAGACAATGCCCACAAAATCTCCAAGTTGCGTCCAAGAAAATCGAGCTTCTCAGACATTATGCAAATGAGCTTTTCGCTTTCATGCCCGATCTCTTGTAACCGCTTTGTTCGTGTACACACCGGTGATGACGGCTGTTGGCTGGTTAGCTTCTAGATGAATGCCGACGTGCGCGCCAGAACCGGACACATACGCGTCGTGTTTTCAAATAGGGTCGAAGGTAGCGACCAGATCTTGGTACGTCCACTTGGACTACCAAGTAGACTCTCTACATCTGATGTTCACCACGACTGTGTGATCGAATAGCCAGTGTGAGGAGTCACGTAGTTTACAGGCAAACTAAACAGCTGTCCATCCGGACCTCCTTTCATCCACAAGCTGTTTGCAAAATTTGTTGACGTCCTCATTGACCACGCCGGACACCCAACATCTGCCTGCTGGAAAAGTTGACGAGATCTGGAGGATGGTAAAGCTAAGATCAAACCGGTGAAGGTCTGGATCGATGATGGCAAAAAAGCAAAAACTGAAAAAGAGTATCCTTCAATGAAAAGAGAGCTGTCTTGATTTTTGGAGCCTCTTCCAACATCCACGCTCCACACTATATGCCGTTGTAACTCCGGTTTACTAGGTTGCATCCTCATTCGACAGAAATGGCTGTCGTTTGTCCAACCGTGCTAATGCGTTTGATACCATCGGTCAACGTACATTACTGCAGCTGCCTACAGAGCTAGACCGACGAAAATTCACTCCTCTCTCTAATGTGTCCCACCCAAGTGCGTACTGACCATGTCTCCTCGTACAATGACAAGATGTTTGAAAGCAAACTGCCAGGCCCGACAAACAGATCAACTATCACTTAGCCAACAACCAGTCACCATCCTCTAGGTTCCAGTGAGACGAAGAAGGCCTTCGCTGTGGGGTTATTTATTAGAAAATGCCCACTGACTAGTTACAGACTACTGGACAGGGGAGCCAAATTCTCACATGCATCTTGTTTACAAAAATGAACATCCGTTTCCTCTTGAGCGTGTGTCCCTGAACTTTCCTGGATATTCATTGACTGTTGCTCAAATCCAGGCAATTGCTACAAAGCGACTCCATATATTCCGCAACTGATCTCACTTTTCAGGAGACGCAAAGCGGATTTACGAGAAAACATACCACTCGCATGACCTCCCATCAGTAGTACAATCGTTACACCAGTATTCCGGCGCACTGTCAACAACTGCTGGTGCTATAGACTGAAAACAGCTGGTTTCTGGGAGATTTTTGTCTGCCGAAAAATCTCTGAACGACGACTGCCGGATTTCCTACATGCACGCGATACTAACCGTCTACCACAGTTAGATCAGCCACAGGCTTTGAAACTAACCAGGTAGAATGGCACTAAGATGACTGGACTAGCGGTTACGGACGCTCAAAAGCGTCTGGAAGACTACGGAAAATTACCGCTGAACAAGAGGATTCCTGCCTGGTGATGGGACTCACACGACAATCCAACAGTGAAGATGAGAAAGTCAACCAGGACAGCGTGGGAACCATGAAAGAAGGGAACAGCTGACACACAGAACAACGGTCAAGAATATCTCAAGTAGGCAGCTCACACAAGCGGGCCAAAACGTTACTAGCTAGCATGGAATCGACGAGGACACTCGCGAGTCCTTCATTCCAGCCATGACGTACAACAGAACACTTAAATCTTTCTTTACTGAATAAAAGAATAAAATGAGAAAGCTAGGGAGGGCGAAAACATCATCACTCTACTAGCTGTCAAGGGACACCTAAAAACTCTCATGGAATAACCGGACCAAGGAAACAAAGAGTAAGTTCCGCCCGACAACACTAACACATACTGAAAGCGGGCAAAACAAACGCGTCTGATTGGTCTGTCAAATGCGGACCCTTGGACATAAGAAACGCCAGTCGGAAGTAACCACGGAACGAAACTACTGAAATGAAGATATCTGAAGAACCAATCAGATGTAGGCAAACCGAACCGTAA